TATATATATATATATATATATATATATATATATATATATATATATATATATATATATTTATATGGCGGGATAGTACAACCCGTCCTGGTGCTGCTGTTCCTGCTGCTGGTATGTCTTATGAGCAGCAACAATAGAAGCAGCAGCAGCAGCAGCTGCAGCAAGAAGGTGTTACCTGTCTTTATGTGGCTGTCTACATCCATCGAGTCGCTGCTATCCAAGGAATCCGCATCGTGCTCCTCTGGCTGCTGCTGCTGCTGCTGCTGGTGGTGCTGTCGCGCATGCCCCCGACGCTGCTGACGCTGCTGCTGCTGCAGTTGCTGCTGCTCCTGCTGCTCCTGCTGCTGCTCTGCAGCAGCCTCACCCTCTGCTGATGTCCGCGCACCCCGCCACCCCCGCTGCCGAGAGCGTTCCCCTGTCCGTGTGCTGCTGCTGCTGGGTTCTTGCTGCTGCTGCGGCGGCAGTTCCTCTTGCTCCTCATCTTCCTGCTGCTGCTGTTGCTGCTGCTGTAGATGCTGCTGCAGCAGCTGCTCCTGCTGTTGCAGGCCCCCTTCTGCCTGAGACTCTCGCGCAAACTCCTCCATTTGCTGTTGTGACTGCTGCTGCAGCTGCTGCAGCTGCTGCAGCTGCTGCAGCTGCTGCAACGGTGGACGCTCAGCTGCCTGCACAGAGCGTCTCACTTCTGTCTCTACCCGTGACAGGGGGGCCCTGCAGTCTACGGCAAAGGTGTTGCTGCTGCTGCTGCTGCTGCTGCTGAATCTATGGCCCCAAGGCAGCATGTCCCCGAACAAACCGCCCCGTTGCTGCTGCAGCATCAGCTCTTGCAGCTGCAGCATCGGCGTCAGTCCGGCGATTGCTGCAGTGTGGCTGGTGTTGCTGCTGCTGCTGTAGCNTGCAGCTGCAGCATCGGCGTCAGTCCGGCGATTGCTGCAGTGTGGCTGGTGTTGCTGCTGCTGCTGTAGCCGCTGCGCTGCAGCAGCAGCCGCTCTGCTGCTGCCAATGCAGCAGCATCTGGTGCAACCCTCGTGGGAACTGTTCCCCGCCCCCGGCGGGTCCCGTCTCTGTTGCTGCTGTCTCCTGCTGCTGCTGCTGCTGCCCCTCCGGAGGCAGCAGAAGGTTGAGGCGCGTTGCTGCTGCTGCTGCTGCTGCTGCCTGGTTGCCCTCTGCGTCGCTTTATCAAGCAGCCACTGTTGTTTGCGCCTGTGCTACTGCTGTTGCTGCTACTGTTGTTGCTGCTGCTACCGCTGTTGTTGCTGCTACTGCTAGTGTTGTTGCTGCTACTGTTGGTGCTGCTCCCTGTGCTGGCTTTTGCTGTTGCTGCTGCAGCAGCACCTGCTGCCTTGGAACGCGTACCACGAGTACCCCGCTGCGGAGTTGCTGCTGTTTCTCTCTTTCTTGCTGCAGCTCCAGCTTGTGTTCCCGTCGCCCCTGCTGCTGTTGGTGCTGCAGGTGCTTCAGGTGCTGCAGCTGCTGCAGCTGTTGCAGGCTCAGCATCTGTTGCAGGTGCTGCAGCTGCTGCAGGTGCTGCAGCTGCTGCAGCTGGTGCAGCTGTTGTAGCCGCT